ATGTGGTCCACAAAGCATGGTCTACATATTTATATAACAAATAAATGTTTTCCAATATACATATGTTTAAAATAATCCACAAGAAACCCTACCTTGTACTTCTAACACAAGCTCATATCCATGCCTCAATTTCCCATTACATAACTCTAACTTAGATACTCAGCTACCTTTAGTGTTCACCAACTTGCCACAACCATTTCAAACTCAAGAAATCACAAGTGAGGCTTGGTAACCTTTGTCCTCAAACTCCGCCCTTGTTTTCTATCTTATTTTATAAGATTCACCCAGAAAGTCAAACCAAAAACTTGAGAGGTCCCTGTTGCTCTTCTATGTCTTTTTCTAAGATCTACTTGGTCATTTAAAGAGCTGCAGTCCTTCCACCTTGTGGGTCCACGATACCGTAGGGCTTTGAGGCTCTCACCTAGATGGGAAAAATAGAGGCATTGGAGATGGCCAGTTGGTTCTTACTATCACAGTCCAAAACAGGATAAAGTCAGGACTCTTGGTTACAGCAGTTCAGCTAACTAATGCAGCCACTGTTTGCCCAGGTCACTGGTCACAAGATCCCAACCAGCTCCAAGGGGCTTGGAAAACTTAGTCATAGTCTATCTGAAAGAAAGGAAAAACATTTATATTGACAGGTTGTAAGAATATGTGCCAGAACTTTTAGATTCTGCAATGTGTTTCAAAATTTAAATGCTATTTATACTAATGATTAGTGACATTTCCCAAATTTTTCATGTCATTCTGTTTTTATGTATAATAAAGAATTCAGTCTACTACTACCTTCCTTTATCTTCTCACCTGCCATCTTTGTGTTTGGTTTGTAAATTATTGCTTGTAGTTATATAATTTTTTTTCACACTGTTTTTCTCAAAATGCCTCAATATTTAACATTAGTTCCTAAACTTTTCCAATCTTTTTTTTTCTTTGTCTTTTTGAGACAGGATCTTGCTAAGCAGTTCAGGCTGGTCTTGAGCTCATTTTGCAGCCCAGGCTGGTCTCGAACTCACAACTGTCCTCCTACCTCAGCCTCCCAAATGCTGGGATTACAGGTATATGCCACCACAATGGCTAACTTTTCCAGTCTTAAGTTCTGGATTTTGTTTTATTTTTCTGTTGTCTAAAGAATATTATTGTCTAGTTTTATTATGACAGTTAAAAAACGAATTATATATTCTCACAGTTTTTGCCTATATAAGGAAGTACTTTGTCATCTTTGTGCATTCTCTGCATCTAAATATGTGCCAGAAAAACTTTGTGTTTTTTTGCAAGTAATAATCTAGATGTGCATGATCTTGAATATAAATATTTTCTCTCAAAGCTTCTTAAAATTGTTCTGTTGCCCCCATTTGATATTTCATACAAGAAGTCTGAAGCTTGTCTGATTTTTTTCTCCTTCGCAGACAAACTTTAATTTTTAGTTTACCTTTAAAATGTTACAGAATTCCATATGTCTATGTTTGTATGTATTGTCATTTTTTTGGGACAAACTCATGGTACTCAACTCAACTTACAAGTATAGGCGAGGTTTAATAGGATATATTTTACCCACTATCATTTATTACATTTATTTTTATGTTTTCTGTCTTCACTATTTATAATTTTTACTTTTGATTTGTTGTTCCTTTCAATGTAGATTTTATGTTGCTTTTTTTTTTTTTTTTGAGTGTTGAGGATTGAACTTGAGCTGCTACCAAAATCCCTCCCTTTCTTCCTTTCTTTCCCTCCTTACCTCCTTCCTTCCCTTCCTCCCTCTCTCCCTCTCTCCTCTTTTCTTTTTTTCTTTCTTTCTTTCTTTCTTTCTTTCTTTCTTTCTTTCTTTCTTTCTTTCTTTCTTTCTTTCTTTCAACATGTTCTCACTAAGTTGGTAAGTTTCCCAGGCTAGGCTGGAGCTTGCAATCCTCCTGCCTCAACCTTCCAGACTTTTGGAATTACAGGTATGCAGCAGCATGCCCAGTTGCTTTCCTTTCTTATTTAAGGTACATTCCTTCCCATCCCCATACCTGTCTTCATGTCTCCATTTGTATCCTAGAGACTGCTGTTTCATAAATATATTGTTTTTATTATTTTTGAGGAACACCATGTTAATGGGTTATAAAATCCTTATTCTCTTCTCATAGAAAGACAGGCATACAGGAAAATAACCTCTGCTCTTGAAGGGTCACAGCAGTGTTCCCCCTGTCTTTTGCAATGAAGCGGCCATGTGGTGCATTGTCTTCTTCAGAGGAGAACTACATTCAGGCCCAGTTTTTCTCAATAGAGAGGGAAGGTAAAGTCCACCTCATCATCCTAGCTGTGGCTGTTGTAATAGCCTTCCTCACTCAGAGGTACATTCAAGGTCAGCAGTCTATAGTGTTGTGCCAGTCTGTGGAACTACAGGTGCTTCTTTGGTTCCTTAGGTAGCCCACTGGCTAGGAGGAGCCACTGAGGCTCCAAGGCCCTAGGTGAGCAAAGCAAAAGTAAACCTCTTGTCCGGCCAGCTCCAGAACTCCTTGGGGGATGATAAGAAATCCGAAGAAGGCCTTGTTTCTGCCATTTTCCTGTGTGTTGGACTGTGAGCTATAGCAGCTGCATGAATGAAGAGAACCGTGTCTTAGCCACTTTCCTTGTTGCTGAGACGAAATACCCAACACCCCGAACTTACAGGAGGAGAGGGTTGTTTTGGCTCACAGTTTGTAGAGGTTTCGTCCATAGCCAGCTGGCTGCAAGGCAGGATAGCATGGCACAGGGCTGGGTGCAGCAGAAGCAGAGGGAGAAGCGAGGAGGAAGGGAGACAGATAAACCTTCCAGGCCAGGCCAGGCCAGCGGCCTGCCTCTTCCAGTAGGCCCCTCTCCTAACAGCAAACCAGGTCCAAACACCCATCACCCAGTCACCTGCCAAGCATCTGTCTGGGTTTGCATGAGGCCGTAGGGGGACGTCTACATTTAAACCATAACAAGCACTGAAGCACATGTTGGCAAGAGGCAGGACAGGCAGAAATCCGGCACCTGTTGTGCTGAGCTGTTGCCTGTTTCCATTCCCAAGAGCCCCCAGAGTACGCGGAAAGCTGTCAGCAGTGGAGCTGAACCACCGTCCCTTCCCATCCTCTTTGGGACAATAGGGTCTGTTCTGTTTCCGAGGGCTGACATATGGTACGTGGCTAAGATGGGCATGTAATGGGATCTCATCCAGACATTGATGTATGATCTAAGCACATCTTGAACCTGTGGTGCCAGTCTCAATAGACTGAATGTTCTCTACCTAAGTATAGTAATTAGAACCTGGTACAAGAAATATCAGGCAGATTTCATAATCCAAGTAAAATCCATTTATATTTGCCAATAATTTTAAAGCCCTTTATTAATATTATATCTTAAGGGTTTGGCTTCCTAATCTTCTCACTTAGGCTAAAATATAACATACACTTCAAATCTAGTATATGTTCCATTAAGCCACACCAGCAACAAACTTGTGAGTAATAATACTGTCAGCCTGGAAAAAAATACTTCTTAATGAAAGAAATGAACTTTTGCACTCCTAACACAAGTGGCTTTGCTCTACTTGACTGATACCAGTGTGTACGAAAATGCTAAAGTTTATGAATAGGCATTTCTGCCAATGAATAATAATGACCTCATTATCAAACATGTTTACATTTCATGGCATCAGAGAAAAGAAACATTCCAGTCCCCAGCATTTTCCAAATTAATTGCTCAGAGTCTCCTGATATAAACTCTGCTAACTACCCCAGCTCACCACACTTTTTAAAATATTGCTAAAGTGAAAGCAGTAGGGTGCTTAGGAAAAATAAAAATGAAAATCAAAAACACCATTCCTTTTTATGCAAGACTCACAAGATATTAATGACAAAGTGTTCTTAAAGAAAAAATACACATCATGCTCAAAGCTGTGTTACTTTCCATGCCGTAGACTGGGATCTCACATAACTGAGAAGTCATACTTCAGTAGTCATAAGGAGAAAAGCCACCTTTTCCTCCAAATTCTTAGAGTAAGACCCTGTGCCGGGCTTGATGCATAAGTGGATGTGCAATTTCAAGAGGTGCTTAAGTCAGCATTCCACTCATCACCCTAACATGGACCAAGGCCATCGTTCCTGTTAAAGGCCTAAAAAGTAATACTGATGCAAGTAGAAGAGCATACTGCTTCCTACCCAAGAAAACATGACTATTCTTATGCCCTCTTTTAAAAGACTCATTGGATGCAGACAGCAAGAAGCAGATTTCAGGGCAAGAAACGGAGAAATTGGGTGGAAAAAGAGAAAAAAATATTAGACTGGTTTTTGAAAGGACAAGATGGAAAAAGTGATGAGTTATATCTGTGAGATAGGGAGTGGTTGATTTGGGCATCTTTTAAAAGCTCATTCACATCCTAGGAACACACAGAACTAGGTGAAAAGGGGGAGGGGAAAATTGATTACAGATTCCAATTTTCTACTGGATTCTACTGCGGTAGGAATTCAGGAAAGCAGGCCACAGACCCCTGCTACATCGGTGGCGTGCAAAGAAGGATTCCAGGTAAGCATCCTTCCAGGTACCCTTTCACAGCTTTTGTTAGCAGTTTAAAAACGCCTTTGGGATCTATGTCAAAAAAAGTCTTCCTTGGTGTTAGCATAGATTCCCCCGTGGGATTATATGATAGAGGAACAGAAGCAATTCCATATATTAGATATTTTTATTTTATGTAGTTTCCCTTCATAATAATTATAACCAAGTTTTGAGCAGTAAGTAGCATAATTAAAGTATTTAAAAGAAATTTAAGAGTTTATATTCTATGTACAACACTATGTAATTATGGGATAAGGAAAATAATAAAATTTGTGTAAAACTCTAACACGGCTAGTACCACCACAAAGAACTTTCTAAACCTTTATACAGGAAAGTTTCCATAAGTCTTCTTTTCCCTCCTTCAAGAACTAGCCAGGGATAGAGTTTATTATCTTTCCCCTAAGACTCTTCTAGATTAGCTGTTTACATTCTTCTGCACTTACTGTTAACAGCTTTTCAAGACCTGCAGGGAGATGTTGAATATTACACACTTTTTTGGAGTTCTGCTACCTCAAACGAATCTCTGAGAATCCTCCCAGGTGTAAACTCTTACATCATCGGCCACTTGAATCCAAACACAGAGTACTGGATTTTTATCTCTGTCTTCAATGGAGTCCACAGTATCAACAGCACGGTCTTGCGAGCAACCACTTGGGATGGGGGTAAGTCCAGGCTGGAGGCATACCCGGTTTTGGAGATGTGAATCAAATTGATTGATTCTGGCTAGGCTTGATACCAGTCACCCCTCCATTATAAAATTTCCCAGTGTCAAAAGGAAGGGAGTCGGGGCTCAAATGCTTAAGTGCTTGCTGTCAGCGAGTGGCAGATCAATACTCTGTCTCATTGAAACGGCAGCACAAGGGCCTAATGACAGGACAGGAGCCCAGTTTGCTCCTGTTCTTTCCAGGATGGGCTTATTTGGAGCTGAGTGCACATCAGTAAGAGGTGACACTTAGAAACACTTTTTTTAAAAGATTTGTTCTCAGAAGCATGTGCTCTTCAGAACAACAGCCAAACAGGGAGGGCCCTACACGAGTCACCAAGAATGGTAGGTGGATGTGCAGCCTCCAAGAAAAATTGCCTGTGACTTATTTCTAAGCCAGTTAGCAAGGGAGAGTAAGGAAGGGAAGGAACCTGCGAATCTGAAATGTATTTGGAATGGTCCTTCTAATCTTTTTGGCTTTATAAAGTCTCATTATAAACATTATAATATCATTACCTCCCAAGCAAGTGTTCCAGGTCATTAGCAGAGCTCTTTAAGCATGGAACCCATTTCCCTCTCTGATGCCAAAGGTCAGTACCTTTTGTTTATAAAATAGGATGAATCACAAGGACAATTTTTCAACTAGTTAAGATGGGTTCTTACGATAAAAATAGGTCTTTGCATAGTTATTTCTGACATGCTTGAATAATTGTGCAATTTAACGCTAAGCAAGATTTTTTTCTAATGTTAGATTTCATCATTACCAATGGTAATCAACATTCAAAATCATTTACATAATGACAATATTGCATTATTGCTTCATATTGCTTGAGTTACAAGCTAGTAACATCAAATGATTTTTCACATTCCACCAGCCTCAGTGAATCTGAGTTCTATTTTTTGCTTCAGAAGCAAATTTCCTTTTCTCCTTCCCTACCCCTCTCACCCCACCCCCCACCTAGGAGGTATGGAATGAAGGGATGTTAAAAAAGACAAATAATAGATATGTGTGAGGGGTGCAGATGGGTGAATAATTTATCATCGCATCCCACTGGTCTCAGAGTATTGAAGATTAGCACTACGCTGGTGGTATAAAGCATTTGACTAGCAATTCTTATGGTTTCTAACTGAGAGTATAATAAGCCAATTTGCAGAGGACTACAGACTGTGATGACTTCATCAGAGGAAAGCAGATAAGCAAGGACCCTTTGCGAAACCTAAATACTAATCTGCATTTAGTTTAACAAGTGCTGTTTCAGAGACAGCTGGAGTGGATGCCTCTTCCTCCTTTCATTCCAGAGCCTCAGGGCATGCTGCCGCCAGAGGTTGTCATCATCAACCGCACAGCTGCCCGTGTCATCTGGTCATCTCCTTCAAACCCAAATGGTGCTGTCACCGAGTACTCTGTCTATGTAAACAACAAGCTCTACAAGGCTGGAATGGATGTGCCTGGGTCGCTTATTCTGAGAGACCTGTCTCCTTTTACTGTCTATGATGTTCAGGTTAGGACACTGTTTTGTTTTCTTTTTTTTTTTTTTAAATGCCTAAGCTTATGGGTATGTTACAACATGCGGAGTTGTATCTCTGAGTGGATCCTCGCTGTCTTGGCTACAGACGATTTATTTGGTAGGGAAAGGGAGAGAGAAGAGGCAAACTGATCAAAATTAAATCCGTTTGCTGTGGGCAAACACAGGAGTCTCTGGAGAGACGACCCTGTTAAGATGGAAGACGATGAAGATGAGGATGGCAATGAAATTCTCACTGACAAGATGCAGCTAATCTCCTATTCGAAATACATCTGGCCAGTTTGCCTTTTTTGCCAGTCTTTTACTGATCTCAAAATCACAATCAACCCGTGCATGTGGAGATGTCCCCGTGCCTGATGCTCAGTAGTTCTACAACTCCTTTGATGGCAGTTTTCACTTTGTAAGGGCCATAGATTAGTGACACAAAACATTCTGTCCACCTCTAACACTCTTGGTTTTAAATGCAGCAGGGAAGCACAGAGGAAAGTGCAGCAAACTAATAATATGAAAGGTGGGGTTTTTTTGTTTATTTTTTTGAGGATGAAAGAAAGATATCCATTTGACAACTGCTCAATGACCTATCTGAGAGTCCTTGTATTTACACTGCTTTGTCCTTGGAACCTTGAGGATCTTAGGAAGTGAGTGCACCATTTCTCTAGCATACAAAATGTATGCAAATGTATGATAAAATCTAACAAACAGTTTTAGGGAGTGCTCCAGGAAAGCAGTGTATACTCCTTTGCTTTATCAGAGCTGAGAATGCAGGACAGTGGTGAGAGCCCTGGTTCTGCGCACACCTGTGCGTCTGGGCCTTTGGCTGTGCAGCAGGAGGGGAAGTAGAAAGGTGTCCCTGAATTTCCTAGTGCGGAGGGCTTCTCTCATCCCAGCTGGATGGAGTCACTGCTGGCTGGACTTGATCAAATTTGGGTCACGGAAGCACAAAACCCCAACCTAGAGCCTAACACTTAAATTTTGGTCTTGATGCCTAAGATGCTCTCATTTCTGATAACTCTGCTTCGGGGGAGCTCCTCACAGTCCAGAGATGCTGCATTTAACATAGCTGCTGCATTTCTGGAAACTTAATTGTAAAATTTCAGTGACCTTGATTATGATGTCAAGGCTGATTTAATCGGTATGCTCACTATTTAGAACTAGGATGCTCTATGCTAGCCCCTTCCGTAAAATAGTGAGTGATTTAAGAAACCTAATGCAGTCAAGGGTCTACTCTTTTATATATCCCTTTTGAAAGGGAGTAAGAATTTCAGTGTTTCATTTGGCTTTATCTTTTTTGATGGAAATGTGGTAAACTCTTATCATTGTCTTTCATTCACATATTATAAAATATAGTTACAGCACCAGAAACCTGTCTTGAGGTGGGGAGTTTCAATATTACAATAGTAAGAGTGAAAACATTTTGGCATATTTTTCTAAAATCAAAAGAAAAGCTTTCTGGGGAAACATGGGTGGATCTATGTAGTTTAGAACTTAAGGCTACATTTAATATTTAGGTGAGAAGGCAATAGGATGGGATGAAACCTAAATCAGATGTCCCAAACATGTCCAACTTAATAACTTAATCATATTTTTATTACTCTAACTTTCAATTTACAGACATACAACTGTAGGTGGGAAGATTCTTTCTCATGTGTGGAAGCTAAAACAGTGGATTTGAATGTAATGTGCTTGGGAATGGTGGGCAGTTGGGAGAACAGAAGGAGATTAGATAGCAGGCACAAAATCAGCGTTTGATACGAGGAATAAGTTCTAGTGCTGCATAACCCAGTGGGGTGATGACAGTTCATAACAGGCTGTTAGGTGTCTTATAAGATTCTGGAAGACAGAAGCTCAAAGGCAGTAAGTGTGGAGAAATGATAAGGAGATGAAAATGCTAAATATCCTGATTTGATCATTATATACTAAGAACATGTGTTGGAACACACCAAGCCCCATAAATGTATACAACTATTGGATGTTATAAACTTTTAAAAATTACTTGTTCGTGTACTAATTATAATATTTGGTACATACTACATCCATAACAAATTCAGCTGAGTCAATTCTGATTTATTTAATCAAACATCATAAAGTCAGATATTTTCTAATGTATGAAAAGTTTATGTAATTAATTCTATTACAGCATTATATTTTAAGTTAATCACCTTAAAGATTTTTTTTGGTTTAAGGGCTGGGGATATAGCTCGTGTATAAGAACCTCCCTAGCAAGCACAAGGTCTTGAGTTCAATCCCCAGTATCAAAAATATAAAAAATAAAAAATAAAAAAATAAAAAGATGTTGCAACTTATTTTTAAAAAAAAGATTTTTTTGGTTGAATTGTACTTAGTGCATAGGGCCTTGGTAGTGTTTAAAATTACTAAGTAGTAGCTCACAGGGGCAAATCGCATCAATAAACAACACAACTTATACAGCACTGCAAGCGTATATTTCAACTTGCGGTTAGATGCAAAGCACCTTAGGAATAAAATGACTTACCTGCTAAATACAATGTGCATTACATTTGCCTTTCGCCTGATGCCAACAGAAAAATCAGGGGATGTCTCCACCTAAAAACACAGAATGGGTGTTTAAGAATCATCAGTTTGTGGCTTCCATCCTCTTTTTATGTACGAGATGCCAAAAAAATTTGACACGGAAAACCTGCAGTTCCTCTTTGAGTGATCCACTCACCTAGACAGGGTGCTGCCCTTTGGCGAACACTCCAGCCTCAGTCCTGTATGTTCACTCATCTCTCTCTCCTCCTGAGGGATGTCTGCCTTTTGTGTCACTAATGCTTGAGGAACCCCATTCCTAATCTTAGTTATTCCACCCTCCATCATTCTCATTCAGATTCGGTGGTAGAATTAAAGGGTGAATGATGATTTTCTGCTGTGATTAAGGTAAAAATACCATTGCAGCTGAAACAAATGGATATAAAATAGCTCAGCCATATTGGAAGGCTTTCTAAGCTTCATTTTTCTTCCATTATGCATTACCATGTAGGCGATTTGTTGCAAAATGTCAAGACTTCCAGAAGATATCATCATTACACTACTTGCTTATAGATCTAGAGAGCGCTGTGCGGTGATAGCCTATTATGCTTGCAAACTGTCACCTGAGTGTCTTCCACCTCTCCACAGTGCTCCGAGTAGATTAATATGTCTTTCTCTTTCTGAATGGTTGGAACCAGAGACTCAAAATCACCATTCTCATCACTACATCAATTGTCCTGAGCCCAGTTCTGCAGTCTACTCTGCCTCTGTCCCACTGGAGTCAATTAACATCAAAAATGAATATTTACTAAACCCCAGGAGGCAGTGGAGAACTGGAAGAGATTTATGTGAAATGAGGGTAGCTGGATTCAGTCCATGTTCAGTCTGCATTTTGAAAACGGTTGGGTTTATTCTTGTCTAAACTCATGTTTGCAGGTTGAAGTCTGCACAAAACATGCATGTGCAAAAAGCAACGGAACCCAGATCACCACTGTGGAAGACACCCCCACTGACATAGCGACACCCTTAATTCGTGACATCACGTCAAGGTACCAAATTTCTTTTATCAGTTTATCTGAAGAGCTCTGGTAAGAAATAATGGAAGTCAAAATCAAACAAATCATTCAGCCATGATAATATCACTTCAAAGTTGCTGTCAGTAATAAATAAATAAATAAATCAAATGTTTGATAGAATTTCACAGGTGTTAATGTTCACTGGGTATCCAATATCTGAAACTGATTTCCCTGATTTTATGTCCTTCGTAATCTGTGACCAAACGCTTAAAGGTGCAAAAGAGACTTTTTGTTAAAATATATTCTTTAGTGAACCTTTTATGAAGCAAAATACTATCTCAAAGGAAATGACTACCTGCTAGCTCAACCTTTTTTAAAAAAGTTTTATTTTCATAAATCAGATTGCCCTGAAGCTAAAAATGTCTGGCAAAGAAATACAGTTCATAATTTTTGAGGAGCCATTATCAATTTTATCGGGCTCTTAGTTAGAATCTCTATTTTTCTGTATCCTATGTTGCTAAAAATGACCATAGTGTGAAAGTGAGTCTTTTTAAATTTCCTAATTAGCAGTAACAAGATTTAAAGTCATTTCCAAAGCCAAAAATGAGACGATGGTAGTTTATATCTCTACATCAAGTTGAGACCAAGGAAAGAAATCTGAACATTTCCTGGTCACACTTTTTCCCAATCCAATGAACTGTCTTTCACTACACACACATGTACTAATACCCACACATTTCACACTCATTACACACATGCACACATGCACACACATTGTAACCTTTGATCTGTTACATAATGTTTTAATTATGAAAGATTCTTCCACAACAGACTCAAATTTCTAGGCTGCTTTAAAAATCAGTAAAACAGTTCAAAAATAAATTTGATATATTCATAGGAAAACAGATGCACCTTGAGACCATAATATTAAGTGAAATAAATCAGATGCACAACCTTAAGTATCTTATGGTTTTTCTTATATGAGAAACTTGCAATATAAAGAGTAAAATAAGAGATAGGTAATAGTAAGGAGGGAGATTTTGGCAAGCAGAAAGGTGAACACAGAGATGGAGAGAAAGGGGTGGGAGTGGAGAGAAAGGGAATGGGAGAAAAAAGAACTGCAGGGAAAAATGGAAATAGAGCTTTTGCAAATTGAAGGGTACCAAGAGTTGGAAGGAGCAGGGAGGAGAGGGAAGTGCAGGTGAAAAAAGAAGAACGAGGATGTGCTAAGTACATGTACCTATTGTACCTACTCCCCAGGATAGATGTAATCATTGTGTACTGCACTCGTACTAATAAAAATATAAACTAAATAAAATTTTAAAAATAATTGTACTGGTTTTGACTAAATAAAGGCAATTATTTTTAAAAGTATTTACAAATCAAAGTAAGTAATTATAAAATCCCAAGTAACTAGATTCATAGTTATCCATAGCAAAATTTGTATTTTGTCTTCTTGAGTGTATTAGTTCATTTCCCGTCACTGGGACAAGATACAGACCTGATGCCCACACCTTAACGGAGGAGAGTTTTATGTGGGCTTCTGGATTTTAGAGGACTCAGTTCGCAGTGGCTGACTTGTAGCAGGAAGGGGTAGCGAAAGAGTCTGTTGGAGGAGAGTGACAGAAAACAGTGAGAGACGGAAGAAACGGAAGATTTAGACCCATCCCTGTCATGCCCCAAGTGACCACCTCTGAAGGCTCCACCTCCAGACAGCACTGAATTCACCCATGGACCAACCCAGTGTTGAATATGGGGACCTCATAATCCAATCACCTTCTAAACACATGACACTTTTGAGGAACAATTTACATCCAAACCACAATATTATGTACATTTTCTATGACACACATGATAAATTCTGATGCATTTTTGATATGATAATTAACTGATAATCCCTTTGGTAGATTTTTTTCCCCTCTACCTATCTAAGAGATTGCCCAAAATGCAAAGAGATGGGGAGAAATCTATGCATGGTCTCCAGGGACCTTGTTTCTTTTTTGATTAAATAAATGTGTGGTTAAAATAGAATAGATAACAAAAGTAATACAAAAGAGAATAAGGCTTGATTCCAAATCTACAAAGTTTTAGTCTATTGTAGATGACACTTCCCTAAATAAATACATAGAGAAAACTGTGAAGATTCCCTGTACCCCCCCAAAAAAATATGAAAAACACTGCACTAGAGGATGACAATATACAAGAAGAACATAATAAGAACAATTCCAAACTCTTTCTAGGTTTATCAATACAGGCACCCCAGAAGATGACACTTTTCTGTCCTGATAATTTATGTGGTTGCATGTTGACAAATTCTTATGTGTTAGTGACCCAAGTGACCCAAGCACAGGCAAATGGCAGAAAGAGATACGTCTCAGTTTACATATTTGTATAAGACTAAAAATGATCTCTAAGCAAATTGAACAAATGTTTCTGTATCTTTAGGATTTTTTTGCCTTTGAGGAGATTCTTACAGATGACAAAGGGAAAATATTTGAAAGATATGGATAAAGACAGCTTACATGCAAACATATTAACAGCAAGACCATTTCAAAGGAAAAAAGGATTAAGAGTAAGAAAAGTGAGAGAGGAATCAACAGAAGGGAAATTGCAACACAGCTGTAAAAGCAGTATTTATCAGAAAGAAACAAATAATTTAATACAGTGGAGAGATTTACAACCAAAGTGCATTGGCTAGCAGAGGTAAATGATGACATAAAGGAGGTTAATTTTCCTGCTGAGACTCTAAGCAGCTGAGCTCTTTGAGTCTTTAAGGATTCTGCTGCAGTAGAGAGGTGGGAGAAGGGTCAAAGCTGAAACCACGAGATTGAAAACCTAGAAAAAAGAGTTACCCCCAAAGTCCCTTACTCTACCTATGACTCCGGCTGTCTATTTCTCTCCTCCTAAGTGGCAATGTACACCCCTAGGGCGTTAGACATTTATTCCCCAGAGAAACCCAACGGTCCTGGGAGCTGAGGCAAAGGATGGAGGTCAAGACAATAATGGAATGAGGCAATATCCTGAAGGGTGGGACTCTTGACTAATTTCCCCAATTCTCCTCTCCAGAGCAAGTGTCAATCATAAATACCTCCTTGTAGCTTATCAGACATTCACTTCTGGAAAGCAGTAACCCCAAACTGAATATCTCCAGATGCCAGGATATAAAGATCCCTCAACAGAAAGATATAGTTTGAAACTTGGCCAGTCAGTGAGGAAGTTGACCAGTCCACAAGGTTCACTTATCTCTAAAGCTTCTGGCCAGCATCTTTTACTCCATCACTCTTTTTCTTTAACTCTTAATGTTTATTCGTGCTGTTGGCAATGCACAATGATTCAGTTCACCACAGGGAGTTGGTCCATGTGCCTATCAAAACTTAAACCTTTCCTCAGCCCCTTCTCTCCCTTCCTACTTCTTCCGAACTCTTGGTCTCCTTCTCTTTTGCAAAAGATCTATCTCCCTGTTTTCTTAAATATTAAAAGGAGACCAAAATAAACAGGAGAAATTACTTCACAGAATGAGAAATAATGAAGGTGAGGAAAAAATATTACAGCCCCAAAGAAGTACAAGGAGACCTTCTACCTGTGAAACAAAAATGAGATACTAGATAAAGCTTATAATCAAAGGGGAAAACCTCAAAAATAGAAGTGTAAAGTCTGAAGTGAAACTTTAAGAAAAAAAATTTTTTGAGAACTGTCCCTGAAAGTACAATAAAAGACAGAGATTTGGAAAAGAAAAAGTAAAAAAAATTAGAAAACATCTGGAAAATTTAATACATGAATAATGGTTCCACTGAGAGAAAGCAGAAGAAAGACAAAACAAAATAATCAAAGAAAGGTACTAAGAAAATACCTTAGAATCAAAGCCATTGATATGCAAATTAAGACTCCCCAGATGCCAACAGAATGACTATAAAGAATTATGTGAAGGGATGTGATCAGGATATTTCAGAATGCCAGCTTTAATTAGCAATTCAAAAATCTCCCAGGAAGAAAATATAGATCAGGTACTTAGTGCATTAGGAATTTGAATGGAATCATCAAACTTCTGAAGAGCAGCATTCACCAGTAAAAGACAACAGAAGGATGGTTGCAAGATTTTGATTAAAAAAAAACTTGTTTATTGAACAATATATTCCTTTCTCTGTTATATCTGTCTATTGTACAGCAAGGTGTCTATTACTAGCCAGTTGAGTGTAGCTAGTAATGTTCTACTTTAATCTTGAAAATTTTGGAGAGTGGATATTAAGTGATTTCACTGTAAAAATCATAATTATGTGAACTAACACATCTGTTAATTAGCTACATTTAACAAGTCCACAATATGTATATATCTCAAAACATCAGGTTGAACATGGTAAAAACATACATTATTTGTCAATTTAAAAATAAAAAATAAAGTCTAAAAAATTTCATCTTAGCAAATCGTACAGAACCACATACCAATTAAATATGTAGTTTAACTTTAAGAACTCCAAAGAGGAAAAATAAAGATTATTAAATATACAAAAAGGTGAAGAGACCACTGTAGTCATGTCAATGAATTAAACTTCAGAAAAGATTATGGTTTCCTAAACTTGCATATTTTTTTACATTTAAATTTTGATTTTTAAAAATTTTTTTTTTTTAAAGAAAATAGTACAAAAAAAAAGAACAATAGCAAAATACAGACAACACAAAGCAAGGACATTAAAAATGATTTAGGTGTAGCAAAATTCACTCTATTTACTCTATAGTTTTATGAATATTGACAAAGGCATAGGATGTGGGAACTCTCCTATAATTTTGATATGAAATAATTCCATTATGTCAGAATATTCCCTCATCCTGCCCTTTTATTGCTAACCCCTCTCCCATCCTGCCCCAAACTGGGCAGACACTGTTCTTGACTAAATATCTATAATTTTGCCAATTCTGTTTTGTCATATAAATGAAATCATATAATATGTAGCATTTAAATCTGGCTTTTTTCACTGTGGGCAGTGAATTTAATATGCGTCCATTCAATTTTACACATTCATAGTTGTTACTCTTTG